TTGGCATAGATATTATTATTCACACCAAGACATCTGTTCAACCAGTTTAGCCAATACTAATTGGGACTCTTGAATAAAAAACACATAATGCAAATAGTTTAAACCATTGCATGGATTCATTTTAATTATTTAAAATAATAAACAATGTCATTAGCCAGAATTCAGCTTTAAACTTCCACACTACTGCTTACACTTTTACTAGTTCATCAATGAACGCAAACCAACTCTTCTCATATTTTACGTTCAAGTTCCGCCTTTCTGAAGTAATATTCACAGAAGAACTGTATTTTATGTTGACACGAGGTTTTAGATGTAGTTACTACGTGAAAACCTGAGAAGTCAGTGAAACACATTTGTTCAGCCTCAGCGTTAAAGTTTTTTTTATTTTTTTCCCCTCCACAGAAACATGCTCAGCACACAATTGTAATCTTTTTTTTTTTTTTGCAGCTACCAATCACAGCTCATTCCACCATCTTGATTGGTGATGCTGGAGACATAAAAAAAAAAGTAAATCCAAAGTTCAAGTTGCTGCCAGAACGTAATAATTACAGGCCACTCAGATGAATGTATATTTCATTGCAGTATCTTGGATCTTTTTTAGTCTGGATGGGATGTTGAAGATTTTTAGAGGAGATACAATTGGGAATTTGTAAAGTACCTAACAGATCAATGCAGATTTTTGGAGGTTGTAAAGCATTGACTTTGAAAACACAGAAAGCAACCAGATATCTTTAACTATACCAGTTTTAACTTTTTAGAGTACGGACCCGCAGCATCACATGACCTTTATCATCAAAGATATGATGGCTGAATCTGACATTCAGCCATTTTCTCTGGTTGCTTTTAGTAGATTCTCCATTTAGTTAAGAAGTGACAAATCCCACTTTGTACCAATAGGACAGAAAATGATCTCCTCCTACAACATGTAATAAGACTGAGGGATACTGAGACAGGAACCCTAGACAAGCATTCTTTGCAGAGAATTCATGTTGAAATGCACATGAAGAGGACCTCATTATCAAAGATCTGCTACTTGTTTCAAGTTATTTTAAAGCACTTTTCAACATATTTGTTCTTCAAATCCACCAAAAGCTCAGTGTTTTTCTCATTTGACCAAAGAACACAGTTCCAACTAAAGTCCGGGTAGGTTTAAGCAAATCCCACATATTTGAATGTGTGAAGACCGAAAAGGTTTTTTCCTTGCATCACTCCCAGATAGCCAGTTAGCATGTAGACGGCGTCTGGTAGTTGTTATGGTAACAATGTGACCCCCGACATGCCACTGTTTGCTGCGGTTTTCCTGATCTGTGGAGAATGTTTTTCCTTTCTTACCATTCTGCTCGGTGTGCAATGGTGACAAAAGATACGTCCTCATCCACTTGAGTGGCGACGAGAAATGTGTCAAAAAAATAAAACTTACACTCATTTGTTGGGAATTCCTGTGTTTTTCAATGCGAGATTATGTTACTGCAACAAAAAGAGGGATTCTTTAGATGGCTTTTTAAACTTTTTACCTTTGGAGCCAATAAATATGGAAAACACTGCTTTTCGTGGGGTTTACAGTTAATAAGAAAAGTCATCATGAGCTTAATGCGATTTGCAGCAACCTAAAGCCACATACAGATTTGTTAATAAGCCACCTGCTGTTTACTAATGTTTACCTGGAAGCGGGATATGTTGGAGCAAACGCAGCCTATAGGAGTTTCGAAGGAAATGTGGGTGGGATTGGGTGCATTGCAATACCGTTAACAGGAGCGGTTTCCATAGAAACAGCTCATTAGGAGGCAGTTTGAGCTGTTTGATACCGTCCGTGATTAAAGGACTTGCTGGGGAGGGAATGAGCATGACGGGAAGAGATGGAAAATCATCAATAAAGATTGACAGAGAACCAAAACCAGGAGAAAGAGAGGAGAAACCGAAGCATAGTGATGAGAGAGCATATAAAGGAACTGAAGTTAGTCGCACTTTGTGGAAGGTATTCCCTGTAGTGTAGGATGTTCTGTATCTTAGCGAGTGATGAATTAAAAAGCTGGAAGTCAGAATACATAGTTGAAGGGCAGGGAGAGCTGCCTTGAAGACTTCTTTTATCGTAGCCCGTGGACAGCACCGCACTCAGGTTCTGGGAAATCGTCACAAGGCATCTAATCACATAGGTATTCTGCCTTGTGGCGAACTGGGCTCCACTGGGGACTTGGTTGCTAATTGCCCCCTTCTCCCCCCATTTAGAGTGAGCTGTCTTCCCTCTTCACACACACCACCGCTACACCTTCCCTCCGCCTTTTTGTGTTCCCACCCTACGGCAAAGAGAGAGTCATGAGTGCCATGTCATCCAGTGAATGTGTAACGTCAGGCCCAGGGCTGTCTTGGCCTAGGCTGTCCTCGTTTGCGGTCTCACATTGAGGATTACTTCAACCTTCTACTCTGACTGTACAAGGAGAATGTTTTTTTTCTTTTTGCAGGAGTTGCATTAATGCTTAAGCCGGCAGTAGTGATTAGCAAAGACAAGCATCTACAGTCGTTCAGGACAGCATTGTCCTTGACTTGCTCTGTTCAAGCATTTTGGTCAAATGCTTTTTATTGTGAGCAGGTTCTAATATGGATTTGTTGGGTCGAATATAGTAGACTAATTTTGTGCATTAAGCAAGAATGTAAATGGTGATGACTATACATGAAGTTAATAATTCTTGATGCTGCACCTTTTATTCAATTCAGTTGAGTTCATTTAAGTTATATAACACCAATTCAAAGCCTGTAATCTCAAGGCACTTTAAATTAGATTAACAAAGTATCTTTAATCCAATCTTGTATACATTTCAGTTGATCCAAACAGTGAAGTCAAATTGGTTAAAGTCAGGGTTTTTCAAACCAATGCTAATTTGTAATCTCTTGTGACACAGTACCTTTATTTGCTGTCATCATTTTGTTGAGGTCACCAACCACCACCTTTAAATGTTACATGCGCAAACATGACCACTCTAGGGTTTGCATGTGCTGGACACCGAGGTGATATTTTCCATCCCAAGTGAGAGCTCATCAATTTTCAAAACATAACAGTGGAAAAGTTCAAAAATATCTTCTCAACAGACTCAGGAAGGTATGCATGATGTTTTGTTGCATACAGAACGGGGGAGTCTGCCACCAATTTGAACTGTGAGGTGATCATTTTTGGTTGACAAGTTGGTTCATTTTCTGTCTTGAAATATCTGGTCTCAAATTTGCATACATAACCAGAGTAATACTCCTAGTGGACATACTTTAAAAATGCTGTTAATCGGTTTAAAGATGAGACTGTTGCTGGATGTCAAATTAATTGCATCTTTAAATCTTAATCAGCTCAGTGGGCCCAGTTTCATGGCAAACGCGAAGCAGCACATTTTGTTTATGCTCCCACACACTTGGCTGTCTTAAATAGAGCCACACAGTGCAGATGGTATATACCTCAGGGAGCAGAATCAGCCTTCAGCAAGCATCCTTATTGATTTTCTGTAACATAAAAGACACATAACGCAGCTCAGAAGGAACAGTCGGGGCGGCCGAAGTGTGTGGCGAATGGTCTGACTGTCTGTAAATGAGCACACATTCACAAACAGACACGTCACACATGCTCACAGACTGTCTCTGAGAAGCAGATGTCATCCCCTTGTTTTTCCCTCATCTCCATCCCGCCCACTCCATACAACGTGTCCCACTTTCTGTGAGGAATCATCAAACAACTATTTCCTTTACACATGTCACCAGCTGCCAGGGCTGAGTGTGTGGCATGGGTGTGGATGTGTGAACTCCTCTGCTTCCACGTTCTGAAGTGATTGTTGGTAGGCTTTAACCTCGCTTCAAGCTCAGTGATTTAGACTAAAATCTTCAAGCCTGAAATTTAGAGATGTGCAGATATGAACTCTTGGGCCTGTTAATATAGCTAGAATGGCCAACGACCGATTTTATTGGACATAGTCACCACCTTTTTGCTTCCAACTTTCTAAAACGCATAAAAAGATTAAAATAAAGATTAAAATAAATGCTGGTTTTTACTCATCAGAACAATACTAAAATGTTAGAAATAGACTAACATTTGCCAATAAATGATGTTCATATCCCTGCCAAAATAGTAGTTCCACCTAGTGCCATTCTTGAAGAGAAAGAGTTAGCTAAAGCATTGATGCAAGGATAATATGCAGTCAAAAATTAGAGAAAAACTGATGATAAACCTTTTATTGTAAACAAAAGTTGGTATTTGTTGAACTTCCTAGACTTTCTGGTAAGACTCAATAAGTTTTCTGGAGTACTCTGCCACTCCCACACCATAATGAAGTCCTGTTAAAGGTCCTTTAAGTTCACCAGTGTGATTGTATTTGGGTTCCCACTTAAGTCCATCTCAGAAATGTCTCATTTGGTGAAAAAAAAAATAAAAAAAAAATAGGTTGGCATGGCGCTCTTTGGAGGCGTAAAGCAGCAGCCACATGCACTGCTCCGGGTATTTCAGAAACTTCAGATTTTCTGTGATACTAAACTTCATGATCCATCTTTTAGGCTTACAAAAAATGGTGCAAAGAAGAGAAAAATATCCAGCAGGCTACAATTGTGTGGATGAAAATGCCGTGTTGATGTCAGAGGTCAAAGGAAAATGGGTAAATTTCAGCTTTGACATTCAGGTGGAGAGCATTTATCCACCCAACTTAGTATTCACAGCTCAGGCTGCTGCTGGTGGTGTGGTGGTGTGGGCGATGTTTTCTTGGCATACTTTAGGCTCCTTAGCACCGTTTAAGCATTGTTTAAATGCCACAGCCTACCTGAGCAGAGGTTGATGTCAAGATGGCTATTTGTGTCTTTTATTTCTAAGAATTTTAAGCAGTTTGATTACTAAATCAGACTTTTATCTGGTCCAACTTGTGGCAGTACTAATTATATCAATGAAGAAATGAGTAAGGCTGTTTTCCAAGTGTAATGAAGTGCACATCTAAAAATCGTCATCCGTAAAAGCTTCTTTGTGCTTGTGTTTGGCACAGGTGTAGCCATGAAGCTGATGGACGAGGTTGCTGGAATTGTTGCCTTTCGGCACTGCGGCACAAACATCGTCACTGCTTCTGTGGATGCCATCAACTTTCATCGCAAGATTAGAAAAGGTAAGGATAGACTGGTGAATGCGCTCTTGGATTTCTATCACTCATCTATTAAAGTAGCAGTGGTGAAATGAGCTGCACTATTTGAATTTAGCAAGTTCAGCAATTACACTGGATTAATAGAATGGGTAGGGATTATAATTTTGCTTTTGAAGTTTAATGAACAATTCAACTTTCCATTAAGTGTTTGACACGTTGCTGGTCATTTTGACACTTTGCCTTTTTGCACTTTTCATCCAGGGAAGTTTTTTTTACAATAATACACCCATAACCTGAGTCAAATGATTTCTCAAGTGCATTTTTCTAAAGCATGAGGAATCGCATTTATCTTCAACACTATGATTTTTGTAAAAATTGGTGGATTTTCAAAAGCAGCACATTAAGTTTTTTTTTTTTTTTTTTTACATTTTTTCTTCAGACAGTACCTTGTCTAGACATCTAGTCCTAATGTTCAGATGTTGTGATCCCCCAGAATAAAAATGTTAACAATAGACTGGCTTCATCTCTACCCATTGTTGAATTATGAAGTGGAAAGGAAATGTCACAGCTCAGCACGACTGTGCCAGCTCAGCTTTGCATTTACAGTACACGTGTTTTCAACTACATCTCCTTCATTCAAGCAGGATAACTCACTTGTTGTGTTGGTTTTGTCAATCAAGGCCTAAGGATTTAAAAGCAGCAGTGTGCTGGGCCTGAGATGTTGAAAACACCGGAAAGAGGCTGCAGAATAAGCTGAAGCCGTTAGAGGTGGCAAGCAGGACTGGACCGCCTCGTCACCATTTTTAGAACTTGTTCTCCTCTGCTTTTTGTTCAAAGTTCCACTTTACAAAGAACTGCATGCAAATCTAAAACGCAGTATGAGAAAAATGTTTTATTTAAAATCCACATGCATGTCCTCTATTTCTAGCTGTACCAGTGTTGCGCTGGTGTGCAAATGCATGTGCACATTTGTATTTGTCTTTTCTAGATGGTTTTGATGCAGTAGTATGATTCTTAAGATGTAGGAGGTCAAACACAGGGTATCAAAGCGTCTTGGGTATCAGTAAATACCCAAGTAGCAAAGATACTGGAATATTTCCCGTTATTCCTGAGTTAGCAATGTCTCCCCAATAGTTTGTATTCATAGTCTCTATGGTAACCATGCACCTGCTGTGCTACTTTGGGTTTTAGCTCAGATATAGGTTTTCCCAGTAAAACCTGCACCGACCTGGACTGATTGATGTTTGTTACCAGTATCGCTAATGGATCAAGCAGGAAAAAAAAAAAAAAAAAAAAAAACAGAACTCTCTTACTGGCAGACATGCTTTGTTTGTGTTTACAACTGGAAACAAAACAAAACAAAACAAAACAAAAAATCATCCTATTATCCAAGTGACAGAAATCAACTGGAAAAAAATGTGCAGTTATTTCCTTTGAGGTCATCTCTAATGCCCAGCTGCTCAGACTTTGTCTCCAGTTTGTGCGAGAGGGGCTTCTGCGAATCAAAAAGAAAACATTCTCTAAAGGTCACCGACTATATCTGCTCAGAGTTTCTCCTTTTCATATTGTGTTTTGTTCTTTTATACATTTTCCCAGGGCTCAAGCATCAGTGTTAGTTTTATTTTAGCCTCTTATAACAACGACCAGTAACACTTAGTTCTCCCTGCTGCTTTGTGGAGTCATCTTGACCTCGGATGATTAAGCGTGCTGGTTGAGAATGATTTCTATACTGAACACATTTTTTGAACAGCTCTGGACGTTGAACAAGAAGACGGACTTTAAAAAAATAAAATGTTGTTTCGGGGTATATGTAACAAATCCCTGTAGTGTGTGTTTCAAGGTTGTTTAGTCAAACTTTAGTTCATTTTCCTAGAAAGTCTCGTCCGTTTGTGGAGGTGTGAATGCGTAATCGAACTCTGATGTGAGCTGAGAAGAGCGAACTGTGGTCCATGTAAAAACCTAAGTCTCACTTCGGTTGATTTAGAGGGTTTGCCATTAAAGTGTAGTTTTAATTCCATTTTTTCTTTTTTTGGGAGGGGGATTATGGGGGCATTTCTTTTCCATTTTAAAATAAAATAAGATTTACAATAATACGTGATGTACTGTTACAAAAGTGGAACTTAATAAAATAAAGTCCAAAAACACCAGCCTGTTTCACAGCTAAAACATCAATGTCACACAATATCCAAACCAAACTCTTTGCAAAACGTAAAGGAACTGTAATGTCAGATTGAAAAATAAAAATTAAAAAAAATAGTTGTTATTTAGAAGCGGGAAAGAGATGTTAGATTCTACCCATTGATGTCCGGTGTATAGTCACTGCTCTTTTTTTGTGATCAATTACTGCGAAATAGCCAGAGGTACAAATAATGAGAAGAAATAACAAAACCTCAAAAGCTGAATGTCAGATGAAAGGACACACCAGGGAGAGGGAGAGAAAAAACAGCAATGAAGATGGAGATAATGACAGTGTTTCATCTTAAAATCTTAAAATTATGTTTTTGTTTTATTTAACTACATAAACATGATTTTGCTTTTATGCTTGTACAGTTTGGATGTTTTATGCTTTTCTTCATGATAAGCACTAGAGTCGAGATGAGAAAGTAGTGCAACTTCAACCAATTTAATACACTAGAGGGAAACATTTTTGCTTGTTGTTCATAAGATAAATGTTACTAACATAGACTGTCCCAAAGAGGGCAAATCTTCCGTTTTGCACGCTCAGCTCAATGTATACATCTTTAAGCTTCTACCGCAGGTTTGCTGCATCAGACGAAAACGTGAGCCGACCTTCAGAGCTGCACACATGCAGGATGTTTCCGCATGAATCAATTATTAATCACCGAGGTCTTTAAAAAGAAAAAAAAAAAAAAAAACAGACCCATCATCAAGACTCATTTTTGACATAATGCCGTTGAGCTGATCTCACTTCTCTCTGCTGAGTTGTCTACATCTGTGCCAGAGGCGATTTATCTCGATGAGACTGGACTCGGTCCTGGTGGTGACATCTTAAAACACTCAAAGGGGCAGATGACAAGGGGGAAGATAAATGGCTTCAGTGTATCAGCCCGTCTACTTGTCGCTACTCATCCTGATATACAGCCATTGTACTACATCACCCTTTTACAGTTTGTCTGGGAAAGATGTTTTCGATCTGGATGTCACAGTTAATACATCATCTTTTATATAGAACCAGAACCAGCCATGTTTTGAATTAAGTTAGCGAAAAAATATAATTGTTGTTTTCCCAATCTTCTACCATTTCTCACTGTCCAATGTTTCACCAAGAATAAAAAAGATCAGGAGTACCTAAAAACGTCATAGTTAACTATATTTTGATCAAAGTCACCAGCTTGCGTGTTTGCACATTAATAGCATTTTCCATAAGAAGAGCATTTTTTTTTTTGCATTCTGTACTTGAGTAACACGTCTAAATTGTTTCTTAAGGCGACAATTTTTGGTTGAAAACATTGTCTCTTTTATTACCCTGGCTTTTTATTGTTTTATTAGCACTTCAATATTAAGCCAGGATCTTTCTCAGCCTGCAGAGATAACACCTTCTCTCCTTGTCTCTATGGCAACAGTGGTAATAATACAATGCAGGCACATCAAAGAGAATAAAGGAATAGAACCAGCCATGCCCAGTTATAGTGGCAGACTGGTTCTCCCACCGCCCTGTGGTGAACCTGAGAAAAGAGCACAGTTTTCAGAGAGAAAAGCAGCACAGATTACATTTGTGTGAGCGGATGAATGAATAAACTCTCCTCAGTACTTGTAAGACTGGCCGTCTCATACGTCTTGCTGTCAGTAAAGTTTCCTCCTGCTCCAAATGTCCCACCGTCTCGCCTCTCTGCAGCGTGTCGTAAGAAGCTGCTGAATTTTCGATGAGAATAAATAATTTCCCCCTAATCCTCTCAGCCATGCATAACAGCTTGTTATCTTCAGCATATTTCTCTCACTCTTGCTTTTTTCTTTTTTTAATAAACGATGCTCATGCTTTTCTAAAAATCGTCTAAAAAGTCTGAAGTGAGCTGCCTCTCATCTATATGAGGTTTATCTTCAAAAAGGTGTTGTATTTTTTACTTAAAATACAGAACAGACTGTTTCCCATAGCAGTTTAACATAACCTTTTAAAAAAGCTCACATACAGGACAGAATAAAATTGGAAATTAAAAGTGTTAACTTGCTAAAGCTCAAAATGTTTCTGGATCACTGCACATGTTCTTTGAATGTTCACTCAGTTTTTTTTATGATTTCAAGGTTTACTTTCCTATATGAATGGGTGTTGCTGGTCCTCATGTTTTGTCCATTGCAGCTTATTGTATTTTATTTTTTATTTTTTTAATGAAATTAGACCAAGAAGTACTTGAAGCAAGTCATGAACGTCTCAGAAACAAAAGCGATTTTGAGATGTAAATCTAAATCGCATCGATAAATGCTACATGTACTTATTTAAGAAAAAAACTTGGTAAACCAATTTATTCAATGCCCTTCTCTTTTCCTCTCCAAGGTTGCGTGGTGACGGTGACGGGCCGGCTCACGTTCGTCAGCAACAGGTCCATGGAAATAGAAGTGCTGGTGGATGCCGATTCGCTGGTGGAGACGCAGACAGGAAAATATCGTGCTGTCTCAGCCTTCTTCACCTTCATCTCGCTTGACAAGGAAAATAAACCGCTAAATGTCCCGCCTCTAAAGGTTGGTACTAAGCTTTTTTTTTTTTTCTGCATTTCAAACCATCATTAAAAAAAAAACTAAAGTCACAGTATCATGTTTCAGTGGTCTGGCTCAAAATAAAAGACAAAAGAGGTTTTATTTTGATTTTGTAGTCTACTAGATTTTACTGGGGAAAAAGATAAATTCACCATAAATTTCTAGTAACACATCATCATTTAAATGTGTGATTTCTGTCTTGTTCATTTTGCATGCCGATTGCTTCACTCTGATTGCGACAAGGTTACTATTGAAGACTGTGGAGCGTACAAACACCTCCAATCTAACCTTTTCCTTTCCTAACTTAGCATTTAAATATGTTTGCTGTACATATTGCACTTCGCAAGAAATGAAAAGAGTTATTCTTTCTTCTAGAACTACAAGAAAACAATGAATTGTTTTCCTTTTCTTTTAGCTTTTTCTTGAAACATTTACCTGGACAGAACTTGTTCCTTCTGTGCTTTCAGACAGCTAGCATGTTATAGGTCAAAAATTTTAAATGTGCATGATTCCAAGTCTGAAGTGGTAGAGCCATTTTGACGAGGTGCTGGGAGTTCTGCTCTTCAGTTTCATTAGAAGTGTTAAATCTCGTGGCCAAGAGGAACTTTGTTCTTGTTTTTCCCACGTCAGGTAAAATAACACATTTCTCTTGCAGAATGAACACAGGCCTGTTGGGAAGACTAGACAAGAAAAAGCAGAACCCAAATCCAATAAGTTTTATTTCAGTCAATTTGGATCAAGTCTTAATCTGCTTTATTTTTATGCACAGCGCATTTTCTCACCTTTCTTGTGACATTCAAACAGTTTCTTGTGTTCTATTTCCTGCCCATCTCCACATGTTCAGGGCATTACTCAGTGACTTTATTTAAGAACATTTTGTTTTCTATATCTAACTTGGCTTCGGGGTGATCCAAAGTAGGTAACCATCCACTGACCTGTGCGGGATATGTTAGCCAAAACTTCCCTCAACCCCAGACCAGCCTTCGGGCTGCAGAGCAGCTGTCGTGCAGGGATTCCTCTGTCAGGGAGAACAGGACAGTGAGAACCGCAGGTCAAGAGATCCAGTCTGGGTCACTGAGAGGTCAAAAAAGATGATCCAGGCCTCAAAGTAAGGCCCTCTGATTATTTTGGTTAGTCTCACTCAAATTAGGCTTTTTTTAAACTTCAGCAATAGGTCAAGAAAACCTTTCATTAAAAGTTATGCCTTAAATCACATTAAATATTGTTCCGAATGTTTATTTCAAGCTATAGAAATTTCCCTTTAGGCAGTAATAGTTTTCTCATTTGTTGCTAATACTAGCTAACTGACTGATCACTTATTTGGAGCCTGATTGATGTTTCATTAGATACAAGACTGGTCTGTTATTTAGGAGATTGATATTTATTGAGACTTTTTAAATTACCGGTACTTTGATACATTTAAGCATAAGCTATTAACCGACTGAAGTGAAGGAAAGAGTTTTTAGTCATTACCCTGATCTGATTTCTGAGAATTAAAGGCCATTATTCCTGAAAACAGTCCTTATTGTCAGTGACTGTCTGACTCAGCAGTTCTGGGGAGTAAAAGCAGAGGTTAACGTGTGGACATGAAAGAGATGGATGCTGTTTGCCCTGGCTATGTGCTGCATGGTGATCCTAACCCTGTTTATTATGCAAACATTATGCACACGAGCCATCTGCTTTGACCCGATGTATTTGAATTATTTCCTGGCGCCACTCACCCGCCCTGACTCTCTCTATGATGATCCTTTGAAATCCCGTCCAACTCTTCAGAAAGATGTGAATTCATCCTGTCGGCGTGTGATATTTAAACAAGAGAGGGGCCCTTGAGATCCTGTTCCAAAAAATAAACAAAGGGTTCAATGGATTGCAATTAATTTTAAATGTAATATTTATTTTACTGTAAATGCGTAGAAATGTCGTCGTGATTCATAATTTCATAATTCAATAATTACTGTTTTTATGTTCGGTTTGGTTGCAAATTTCCCCTTTTTAGTTTAATTTGTTTCAGGTTTGCCCAATGCTATTGGATTAGATCGTTCCTTGCGATGTAGTGATGATGCTTCTCTCTTTGCTTTGCAAGCCCAGAAAAAGCTGATGACAGCGACATGAGCTGAGTAAGCAGCTTCAGAGAAATTTGAAAGTCCAGCAGTAGGTCATTATTCTCTCAAGTGAACACTTGAACCACATTTACAAAGTTAGTGCCTGAGCTCATCATTAAACTTTAAGTACGTGTGGCTCGCTACAGAAGCCAAAGAGACGCATTAATAAATGAAGCCAGAGCAGCAAAAATGGTACCAGGCTGAAAGTGAAGAGTGAAGCAGATTTCTACCTCAGAATCCATTGTCTCTTCTTGAACAAAAATTTGGTCTCTGTAAAATCTCCAAAAAAATCTTTAAGCTTGAAATTGTAATTTTAAATGCGAGCACAATCAAAGATTTTCTAAAAGAAAGACAAACTTAGCAGTGTCAATATCTGTTTTTATCTCAGATTGGTTGTCTCATAAATTCTGCATTGAGTCTTTGGCTATAGGCATCCAGTAGAATTTGAAGGTGGACAGCTATTTTTAAAAGGTTTATTTCTTCCTGCTACTTCTTTTAGTTTTCACTTGTGTCCTGACTTGAAGCTCATGATAGTTAGATATATTTGTAAGATATAATCTGCTTGAAATTAAGTGACATTCTACGCTCTGGTATTGGCCAAGATGATGATCATAAATTACTTTGCAGCCGGACCTTCTTGTTCTTACCGCTTTATGCCATGCATTCACCTCTCTATCACTTTTACACTGCATGCGTCTCTGCTCCGCTCTGCACTTCACCGTAATTTAAAGCATGGACATTGTTCTTTAAATTCCACTTGGAAACTGCTAGCAGACTTCCAAGTCAAAGTCAACAGTTTCAGTGATTTTATTGAAAGTTAGCAGAGTGTCTCACTGGATCATATCATTCCAACGGACAAGGTTCCCTTCAAGTTTGACCATTTCTAAGTAAATGATATACTTAGAAATGGTATATCATTTACTTATGATATACCATTGGTAACAACCCAATCCTTGGGTTGTTACTTTGCCTGAATCCTGATTCCCAAGGCAAAGTGGTTTTGAGCATACAGATTGTTTCTGGTAGATCAGGAGAAATCTTCCCTTTCTGCTTTTTTTTGTTAGAAAACAAATTTTCTCTTTAAAACAATTGCCAGTCACTTTCAGCTGTTTTGTAAGCTTCATTACCATCAATTGTAGGTACTGTTTTTTGTTTTATATGAATACTAAGGTACTTTTTGTTTCAGGAAAGTATTTTGAAATGACTTATGTGCTTTAAAATACACGGAAAGGCCAATTTTGATTGACTTATGTTTTATGCTTTAAAGATTTCTATATCTTCCATCTCAAAACCATCATACTTGCCCTTTATAAAGAAAAAACGACGTGCTTAACTACGAGACATCCTTCTCTGGTGATGCATCAGCTAGATAGTAATGATCATCAAACATGTGTCTCCTGCGGGTTGGCCTTTTCAAAAGCTCCGATGTTTCTTCCTATTTCCATTTCACAAAACCAGCCCTTTAGTTCGGCCATTGTCTGCCTCCCCCTCTGTGCATTCATTACCAGGTTTTCCATCTCAAACAGGCAGCTCGCTGCTTGGATTTCAATACTTGAAGATTTCAGTAATAATGTGAGCCTTTGTAAATTTTAATAGAAATAGTCATTCTAAGGAAAACGCAATGTTGTTTTAAAAAAGTCTATTCGACGCTAAAAAAGGAGAACTAATTGGATCCCTTACTGCTGATGTAACATGCCAGCTTAACAAGAAGAAGAAGAATAGAGAGAAATTTGCACAATGATGCATACATTGTAGATATGTACCTCGAGTAAAAGGAAGCTGCCTTAGCAAGTGCAGATCTGTACGTGTGAGCCTTGGCTTCATGTGAACAGATCACTGAGCACAAATGAGCGAGAGGAACGCCGAAGCTCACTCTGTGCTATTTCCAGCTTTCTATTTACTGTGGGCTTTAACATGGCATGAGGTTGACTCGAAACGAGGGAGCGTGCGTTCAGTTTCCATCAGTAAGAGCAAACTATTCACATGTCTGGATCGCCAATGTCAACCTGTCAACCTCATTAACGTCAGTGTTTCCTGTAAGAGAGATGATATCATCCACAAGATCTGAAAATGCAGTAAAGACAGTCATTTGGATAAAACTGAATGAATTTCACCTCGGACTACTTTAATGTTGTGAAAATGGTCACCTAATAACTTCTGTAAGGGATCAATAGAAAACACTAAAAAGAAAAAAAATTGTACTTTCAAAAAAGTACTTTTTCTAATCCATTTGGCATGCCATTAAGGACAATGGCTTTTCCTGTTTTTGTGCAAAAGAATAGGAGAAAAGCCTTCCAGAACTTCCTCCTCACTTAAAGCTTTTCTGCATGGTTGGTTGAGCTGAGTGTTTTATAGCCAGAAGCTGGTTAGCACAGGAGCTGGGCGGTTCTTAAATAGTGATCCTTGGATTTTATTCGGTTGTCCAGTCGACCATTAAAAACAGACAAAATGCTTCTGATGACTCGACGCTGTGCTGTTGGAACAAAGTGAGGCAACTTGGCTGTCCTGCAACAAAAAACTAAGAAATAAGTGTTTTTTATTCAAAATGTAATTTAGATCTTACAAAAAAGATTTTCCAAACTTTTATACCAATCTTAACTGTGCTCCAACATTTTTGTGTGCTACAGTTTAATAAATATAATGAAGCTGCTTAGCTGATCCAGCTTTATGTCCCATTTAGAAGCAGTTACTGTCAGATGGCTGTCTGAAGACGACAGAGGTTGATCTGCCAGCCCTGCTATTAGAGCTAAACGGTCTCCTGCCCGCAACTCAACTAATCCCAACATCGTTGTTTCTTATTATTCAGTACTTGCATGTTAAAGGACTATAGTGTTTATAAGACCTGAATCTGTCATCAGGCTCTTTGTTTTCTCTTCAGTTTGT